AAAAATGATTATTATATATATTAAATAAACTTATATAAGTAATAATTAATTACAAATAAATATAAAATTTATCAATTAATTATTATATTTTATTTTAAAAATAGTAAAAATTTAGAAGAGGAGTATCCAACAGTTTAATATCATAATTAATGTTGCCATAAAAATCACAATTAATGTTTCCAAACACTAACGAAACTGACAAAATCAAATACGTACCGACAGTTGAAGCACCAGACGATACCACCATATAAACAGAGGTCAGTGCCACCAAACTCTGCTCTCCACACAGAGAGGGGGAGACTAGTTAAGCTAAAATGGCCGGTTCCGGTGAGCAAGAAGCCTTGGTGGGTAACAAGCAGGTAATATTCAAGGATTTCGTCTCCGGTTTTCCAAAAGAATCGGACATGTTTGTCACTACCGGCTCAGTAAAACTGAAGCTACCAGAAGGTTCAAGAGCAGTTCTTGTGAAGAATCTTTACTTATCATGCGACCCTTATATGCGAGCCTTGATGAAACCCCAAGATGCCAATTATGGTTCAGTCTTCACTTCCTACACCCCTGGCTCTGTAAGCGTTATTGTCTCTTACTCTCTTATGTTTCTCTAAAATCCAAAGTCCTAGAAATGTGCTTTTGTTTTATTCCTTACAAAAAAATGGTTGAACTTGCAGCCCGTTTCTGGATTTGGGGTGGCTAAAGTTTTGGAATCGGGCCACCCGGACATCAAGGAAGGGGACTTGGTTTGGGGAGTAACCACATGGGAAGAGTACTCTGTGATTAAAGCACCCGAAACACTCATCAAAATTCAGCATACTGATGTACCCCTTTCATATTATACAGGAATTCTTGGTAAGTAAATTTGATGGATCTGACAATCTGGATTGAATTTGGCTGCTTATTTTTGCTTTTTCCTCTCCTTATTGTAGGTATGCCTGGTATGACTGCTTATGCTGGGTTCTATGAGGTCTGCTCTCCTAAGAAAGGAGAATATGTGTATGTGTCCTCTGCGGCTGGTGCTGTTGGTCAGCTTGTTGGACAATTAGCAAAGTTGACAGGCTGCTATGTTGTTGGAAGTGCTGGAAGTAAAGAAAAGGTGAACCAATTTCATGTTCTTATTAACATTGTCAACTTTTTATGATTTTCAACTGTCATAACAATAGTTTGCTAGATAAATAACTTAAGATTGCTTTAGAATTGTTAAACACCGGATCTGAATTTTTGAATATAAATAGCATAAGTAAATCAAGTGTTAGGATCCACTTATCTATGCGTAAATCTATATAAATACTCTGTTAATTTCACAGTTCAATGATTGAGAGATATTATTAAATTTAGCACCATTATTTTAACAGTTGGATATGTGAAATCAATAGTTGAAGATTTTTTTCAGACTTATATATATGTAAATAGATTTTTATTTCGGAAATCAATTTTAATTTTAAAATTCTTCTCTAAAAAGTTTCATTGCTTGGATGACTTTTATAATTGTATCTCATAGTCGTTTTTTTGCCCCCCCCTTTGTTGTCTGAATTAGGTTGATCTGCTCAAGAACAAGTTTGGATTTGATGAGGCTTTTAATTATAAGGAAGAGCATGATTTGAATGCAGCTCTAAAAAGGTCAGTAAATTATTTAATCCCCTTGACAAATTCCAGAATTGATGTCCGAAGTAACAATACAATCATTTTTTGTCTGTGTTACTCTGTCCCCAGATACTTTCCTGAAGGTATTGATATTTACTTTGAAAACGTTGGAGGCAAAATGTTAGATGCTGTACTTCTCAACATGAGAATTCATGGCCGCATTGCTGTCTGTGGGATGATCTCACAATACAATATTGACAAGCCTGAAGGTGTAAGCAATTTGATGAACATTGTGTATAAGAGAGTCCGTGTGGAAGGATTTGTAGTCTTTGATTACTTACAGCAATATTCCAAGTTTCTGGACACACTTATCTCATACATCAAAGATGGAAAGATAACATACGTAGAGGATATTGCAGAGGGTCTGGAGAGCGGTCCTGCTGCCTTGGTAGGACTCTTTAGTGGCCGGAATGTGGGAAAACAGGTTGTCACAGTTTCTCTGGAGTAATCAGCCAGCCTTGTTTGCTCAAGTATCCACGCTGCTTATGTGAATGGGCGTTTTTCATTTTGGAATAATAGGCAAATAAGCCCACGAAATTATTTGTTTTTGGTCTGAACTCTTTAGTGCATATTGCTTTGAATTTATAAGGTAATGTTGTTTTAAACAATCTACAATTGATACCAATCATTTATGAGTAATGATAGGGGGTCGATTTTGGGAACGAAAACGGGGAACAAAAAGGAAAGAAAGGCAAAATAAGAAATTTGGAATTCAAAAATTGAACCTGCCTCAACTGGTGGCCCCCCATTTCCGTCCCCAAAAACCGCCCCCCTATCATTACTCATAATTTATTAATTCGAATGAAAATAACTTAATTCTTCTTAAATAAAGTATCAAATTCAAATCTTGTAAATGAAGTTGGAAAAGTGTTAGGAAAAAAAAAAAAAACCTATAAGTGATTGTTGATATTATTGTTCATAATTAGAACACTATAATTTCCCTATAATTAAATTTAGATTAATTGCATTCACCTCCTCCCGTGCTTTGAAATCCCTAGGGTTTTAGGGCGGTAGGCTTCTCCCTCAGGTCTTCTTTTCGACTTCGGAGCTCCCTTTCTTTTCTTTTACCTAAATCTGCTCAACTTGCTTGCCCCTTCCCTTGTTTCTTTTCGATTTCCCTTTTCGTTTTGTTTCAATTCTTTCAAATCTGGGGAGCAATCGATGGGAGGCTGTTTCAGATCTAAAAGACAGATTGTTAGGGTGGAGGTGGACTGTTTCGATAGGTTGAGGATGGGTAGGGCAGCTACAAACTGGGTAGGTGGGTTGTGGTTGGATAGGGTTCAACGATTCAATCTAGATCTGAGAATGGTAGATGAAGGAATTGGAACCATGCTTAGTCGTGTTTGTCTTGAAGAGGATGAAGACGACACTCTTCCCTTGGTCTCGGCTTGGAAACTAGATGCTTTCAAGCTGGAAAAGCTGCGGTTGGTGGGTATTACGAGCACTTCCTTGGCCACATGGATGGATCTTTTCCCTCAGTCTATGAGTTAATAATTAATGGTGAATGGATAGAGTATTATAGTATTGAGAGACACTACATCGCTAAGTCCGCTGATCTCTTATGCTAGGTTTGGGTGGTAGAATAGATGTGATTACCAACAGCGTTTGTAAGCTCTAAGGCACTCTTTCTATGTTATTACATAACTCAATTGATACTTTTATGATATATACTGATATTTAGAGGTTTTCAATTTCTAATTGTTTTTATTTGTATGAAACACTTAACTCTATATATTAGTGTTAGAAATCTTTCCTAGCTTCTTCTTCTTTGCAGCTTATATGGCAAGCTATAATCCACATTGTAATTGTTTTTTTAATTATTCATACAACTATACTTTTTATAAAAAAAAAAAAAAAAAAAAAAAACCACTA